CAACCACCACCACAACCAACCACCACCACCAACCACCACCACCACCAACCGCCACCACCACCACCCACCACCGCCAACCACCACCACCACCCACCACCACCACCACCACCAGCAGTACGTGTACGAGTACTCGTGGTCTCTGAACGGGTACTGCAAAGTCACTCGTATGAAAGCTTGCGAGGGACGCCCTCGAGAAGCACGCGGCAGCCCTTAAGTTGCTGGAGGAGGTCTTGGCTTTTTGGGGCTTTTCGCTCCGGCCGACTTGGGCTTCGGAGAATCCTTGGAGTGCACCGGAGTCTTCGGAACTGAGGAGGTGAGTGAGTGCATGGCCACGTGCAGCAAAAGCCAGAGCGCACATCATGGACACGAAGCTTGTCTTGGTGAGCTGCTTTGAGGCCTCTGCGTCTCTTCGTCGATTTGGAGAGGTGGGATTCTTCAGCTCCAGCAGTGACGATTTCAGATGTCCTGAATGGCCTCCCAGCATTCGGATGGGATGTTGAACAACTTTGCAGGGGAGCCCTTTGACAAACCAAACTCGTCATGGTAAGCTGTTTTCCGGTCATATGAAGTCGAAAGCAGTTGAAAGTGCGGTGAGCGTGGGTGGCTCTGCTGGCAAGTCTGCGGGGTCCTGTTGCTTCTGGCAGGAGTCGCGAAACCTGGCTGGGAGCCCTGGGGGCCTGGGAGTAGCCTGGGTTTGGTGAGCGCCGTGGGAGTTTGACGATCACCGGCCCCCAAGGTCGAGTGCCAAAGAGCCTCGGAGGCTTCGCTCCGGCGGGTGCATCGTGCACTCCAAGGGCTGAGGCGCCCAGGGCGCGGGAAGCCAGCTTCAGCTATGGTCAGGTGAGTCAAGCAACAATCTATCCAATGCAACACTGATTGCTGCAGGCAACTCTTGGGACAGACGTCTGAGTGAGCTGCGCAAAGGTCGCAAGCCAGAGCAAAATGGCATTGTTCGAGCATGGCTTCGCCGAGTAAGTTTAGAAACCTTGTGCAACATCTCAACACACGCAGAAGTTACTACAAGCCCAGCATATTTAGCGGGCCATGTTTTTGCCGCATCTCGGCTGGTTTGACTTGCACCGGCCGTGGCTGCAGGCGCTGTAGGAGAATATAATTCTCTGTGCTGCTTGGGCTCGCAGAATAGCTGTTTCTCCTGGAGCGCTTGGGAATGAGTGGATCTGGACATGGTTACAGATCAGTTTGGCTTGGAGGCCAGGCGGCCAACAAGCAGCACACCTATACTAGGCCCCTAGGTAGCAGAGTTCCACCTCGACAGGTGGCGACCACCAAGCCGGCCTGTGCCAAGGCAGTGGACTGCTACTATGAGGCGTGGCCCGCCGAGACTTTGGAGCAGGTTTCATGGGTAGCCCAGAGATCGCATGATTCTGAGATTTTGCAAGTAGTCGCCGTCACTGCCGATGGAGGCAGTTCTTGCATACCGGCCCTTTCGATCGTGGTCCGCGGCTGCCGACGAGGTCCTGCCAGAGCAAAGCCTGCTGGCCGTGTTGACGTCAATTCTTTTGAGGCCCTGCGGGAAGATGCTGCGTGCCCGATGGCACGGGTGCTCGCTGCCGACTGCGCCTTTTGCCAGGGCGATGTGGCCAAAGCAAAGGAGCGATTGAACGCTGATGCCCGAGTGCTAGCGGCTGCCAGAAGAGCAGGCCCATTCCTCTGCAGTGTGCTTCTTTGCGCGAGGACTTTCTGGAGAACTTGAGCAAAGAAAGCGAGGCCATCAGATGTTGGATCCTGACATCGAGCTGGCCTCTTAAGCCTCCTTCAGCGGCCCGTTTTTACGAACAGATGTGTCGGTGAGTCGGTGAGGCAGAAGTTGCAGCTTCGTTTAGACCCTGCTCCGCAAGAACTCCGGTGCAAGATGCTGATCAAACGGGTCCGTAGCAACACCACCCCCGCTGAAAGATGCACACCTATGTACTTGCAACTGGGCGCAAGCTTGCGGCCGTCAGGGTGCATCCGGTGTGTGGTCCTGGCGCGAGCTGCAATATGTGGAGGCTGAGGGTGTTGCAACCACTTGATGGGCGAGAGCAGATGAGATCGCGAGTTTTGTTCAGTTGCTGGGACCAAGCCACACAGGCAGACAGACAGAGACAGACAGACAGTCAGACAGACGCCTACATGCTGCGAGAGATGGGGGCAGAGACACACAGTCAGAAGAAAAGGCTGAGACGGCCGAAGAGCACAGGGCAGAAGCCGCAGCAAGCGTGTTTGTAGCTATGTAGCACGACGTACCGTTCAGCATGCCCCATGCATCTTCGAGCGTTGTGCGAGGGCGTCAGGGGTAAATCATGCAGTTTGATACTGAGTGAGCTGTCCAGTTTCGCTGGAAGATAGCCCACGGGCCGCGCAGTGGAAAACGGCCCTTTTGAGTGCTTCTCTGCGAGCGTGATCAAAGTTTCCGTACGCCGGGGATCTCGCCAAGCATGGTATAGGGACGTTGCATGGGTTGTTTCTCGGCATGTCAGCTATGCTTCCATGCTCACGCGTGAAACCTTTCAAGAGCAGCATTGGGGGGTCTCAGCTTCAACACGAGGTAAGGTGTCGTTTTTGTCATGCTCGCGACGTTCTGTTGCTGCTCATTCCGGAGCGCTGCGCTGGTCGGATGCTGTTGGACAGACTATTGGTGCTTCAGTCTGCAGGAGCTTTCTTTTCTGTTCGGACACGAAGCCTGACCTGCAGTAGTGCAGCAAATGATGCAGACAGAGATAGGCAGTTAATCAAGAAGAACAACCAGACAGGGCAGCACAATAGTTGTCGAAGATGCCAAAATGCGGAGGCCTGGTGTCGCTGGGTACTTCATAGCGACCCTGCAGGGTGCTACGACGCACTGAGCGAGGCTCCTTGGCTTTCACTCAGGTGCACGCGTAGCTGCGGTGCTGGGAGGTTGTGTCACGGCACCCCAGCGACCTGTTTGCAGAGCCTTGGTCAGCATGAATCGGGCATGATGTCACAGAGCGAAAATCGCTCCTGTCCGTCTGGCGCTATGGTTGCCCTTGAGGTAAAGCGTGGGCACATCATGGGCCTGATTCTGGGGGATGGTTCCAGGATGTTGTCGATTGTACAGCTGCATGCCTGCATATGCCTGTTTTGGGATCACGAGTGAGACTGCGAGCGGGGGGGGGGGGGGGGGTTCTTCTGAGCAAAACTTCTGAAGTTCACGAAGCGGAGGCCGGCAGCAGACAGTGAGTCTTGGACTGCACCGGCATGGTCATCTTTCTCACCCGGCCAGCTATGCTTGTCTGACCGAGGCCAAGACGACCCCCCCTCCGAAGTACTTGCATGGGATGTGGTCCTTTGCCCTGGAGCA